CCCGAGGGATTAATAAAGTTTCATAATCTAATCTAACATGATCCAGAGGACACAGCTTTTACTTTGAAGGTCACACTCTCCATTTCTTGTTTGAGTTGTACTTTTCACAGTTTCACTAACACTTGGTGAGTAGTTTGCAAGTATTTGCAGACGAGACATAAAAGCACAGCAACCTGTCAACAGCCAGTTTAACTGTACTGATGGTTGCCAGGGTCACTGACTGGTCTCTAGGTTTAAGTGGATGCAGTTTTAACAATTATTTTCACAGCAACTGTTTTTGGCTTCTGTAGAAAGCCTTTCATTATCCAATTGAGCTCCGTAGAATCTTCTACAAATGTTTCAGAGGAAGCTGATGGATCATTCACCTGCGCTCTTGTGCACATTGATTTATTATCGGGAGAAGAACCGAACGTGTTGCATGTCTGTACACGCTCTGTAAGGACGTCCCTGCAAAATTAAAAACTGTTTGAGAATAAATGAATGTTCACTGACTGAAAACTGGTTACGGCAGTCACATCTGCCATTTACCGATGCGTGCGGTAAGGTCTGTACTGGTACCAGTGCTCCATCACTGCTGAATGCTGACCAAATAAGCCGTCTCCCAATCTCCTACAAAACACTGGATCCGTGTTTTCAGATATGTGGGAGTTAAACTTCTCTAATCCAGCTGCTAGTTATTTGGAGTCGAGTACCGGGGTAGATGAATGTTGTGGGTTTGCGGCCCTTCTCTAGAAAGGGGAAACAGGAGAAACCGGCGGAGGATCCATTTTTAATCAGGTCATGTGTTCACTGGGAAGCTGTTTCTGTGGGTCTCAGAAGGAAAAGCTCACTGTGCAATTAGGAAGCAGCCAGCCTGGTGGAAGCATGGAGGACCTGGAGAGGAGGAACATCCCCAGAGAGTTACAGTGGTTGAAAACTTTTTCTTAACAAGATGCAAGACTGACATGTCGTTCCTCTGAGTGACCCACCTTTTCCCGTCTATAACCAAGCTGACCTGATAACTCTGACCGTGGTGTCCTGGGCTTCCCACTCCCAGCCCACTAATCCACTTGGAAAAGATCGATTCTTGTGTAGCACATCTCCAGTGTGAGAGGAGTGCTTTTCTTCTGGTCACTGTTAGAACTTATTTCCTTCTTATATCAAGGCAGATTTTTGCAGATGGCCTCCTCGCCTCGATCCTGGTTCTGTCGGAGGTTTCTTCCTGATAAAAGGGAGGTTTTCCTTCCCACTGTTGACACGTGGAGGGTCAATTATCTCTATATAACTGTGGGGTCTGAACTGAATTGAATACTCAGGCTCTAACAGACAGATCTCTGATGAATAAACACAAGGACAGCAGTGGTCCACACTGGCAGACTTTTATAATGCAAAGAAACAAAGGTCAAAATAAACTGTTCAGCATAATTGATTTCAAACACCTGACGTTGTTGCCGTTTGTAATCTGGCAACATCCAGGTGAGATTGTACTGAACACAGCCTGAAAACTAAAAGACCCAAACTACCCTCGAGTTTTATTGTAGTTCAGTGATGAGTCCATGTGTTCATTTTTATTTCTGCTTCAGACTCTCTGCTGTTCTTCTTCCTCCCACTCCCTGTGCCCGGATCATCTGTTAAATCTTCTCTAGTTCAACAACCTCGTCCTTAAAAACTTTTTGCTTGAACTTTGTGCTGCATACTGTAGATGTGGATGTCAAACACACAGCAGACCAGCACAGGGCCTCATCTGCCCGCCTGGAAGCTGCCAAAAAACTCAAATTCCAAAGACGGCGATAAAGTTCGGTTCGTTTTAAATCGTCTTACTGACAAAGATGATAACCTGCCATACACTAAAGTAAATAAAAGACAAGTCATTTTATGATAGAAAGAGTTTTTTTGTTTGTTTTTTTATTGACAATATTTCATTAAATAATAAAGCCTCTATTTTTTGCAGCTGGTCCACAGTATTATAAAAAATTGAGAGAAGTTGTGTTTTGGGCAACGAGCTGATTTTTCTGTAGTTTTACGAATTTCATCCTTAATGTTTGTTTTTGGTTTTTTTTACATGTTATTAAGCCAGATTAGATCAAATTGGGCTCCATGTGGCTCACAGTGTAAAAAGTTTGATGTCCTGCTACAGACTGAATATTCAGGACAGTCACATCCACGCCCGCTGCTTTCTGATCTCCACATTTTCAAGATTTGTTGTTTTGGAGAATGCAAAGACAAACACCAGCTGATTAGTGAAAAGCAACAGAATTACAAAAAGCAGACGTCTCAGTCGGTCTCTGCAGAGCCAGCTGTACGTCACCTATTTAAAAAATAAAAGCTGTTTTCTATAGTTGGCTGTAAATATTTATTTCTGCTGTAAAGTTAAATATTTTAACATGTTAACGTTTAATGAGCAATTTGTTTTTACTCATTTATAGATTTTATTTTATTGACCTGGTTCTGTTGGATGTTTCTTGAATTTTTTTTTATTCTTTGCTTTTATTCATTTTGGATTTTTTGGTCCATCAACTCTACTTGTGACCGACATTATTTTACATCTATACCACTTAAAAAGCCACAGTAGGTGTTTTGTTCTGGTACAGCTGCAGTTTGAAAAACACCAGAATAAACTATAATCACACAGAGAACGAAAACCAGTATAAGCAAAGTTTGATGTTTGTGGAATAAACTGTTGCAGAAGAGAGAATAACTTCTTCGTGCAAAAGCCACGACGGCTGACGAGAAATTTACCAGAGATGTTCGTCTGCAATATTCATCAAGCATTGATTCAGTGCTGAAGTGTGACTGAGCCTTTAAAGTGATGGTTAAGGTGGAAGCTCGGTCTTTATTTTCCAGAAAATGGAAGAGTAATAATACAGCTCAAGACAGTTTATTAATATTGTTTATCAACTCAACTCTAATCGAATAAAGGTTTCAACAGTCCCTGTGAATGCAAAGTTTAAAGAAAGCAGGATTTTGAACTACATGAAATAAGATTTACAGCACCTGCCAACAACCGGCTGGAAATGCAGACATTCAGACGTTTAAATCTTTGTAGCTGGGATTTAAATCCACAGTAACTCCACAGGAAACATCTGAATACTGGGCACGGCTGATGTCACCACTGCCCTGTTATCTAAATTAAATCTGGGCTAGAAGAATAGTTGATAGCAGACGTCTAACAGGAAGTGAGCTTTGGCTCAAGTTCTCACCTGTTTAAGCTGCAGCTGTGCTGCTGATGCCTCCCAGTTCCACCTTTGAAATGACAGGTAAAGGTGAGAACCACCCCACAGCGAAAACACTGTGGGCACCGTCTCTGCAGCGTTAACGTGCCCTGACACAGGAAGTAGGAAATAAAGCCTCCCTTTTTGTAACTTACTAACCTTTGCATCCAAAGTGGGAATCAGTGGAATAATCAGAAGCTCGTTATTCCTCAGAGACGGTCACTTCTGATTAAACTTCAATCGTGTTGGTTTTTCTCCATCTTAAAAAGGCATCTGACACATTAAACCATGACATGAACTTTCTAAGCTCACTGCAGGATTTTATTAGGAAAAGTCAGTTTAAATCTTATCTAATCGGGAAACGTGATGTTGTTCTCCAATAATGAAAAGTAACCTCTGACAGGTGTTCCACAGGGTCCTGTCCTCAGCCCACTTCTGCTTGTTTAAATATAAATGGAGCCACGTCCTGGTGCAGGTTCACCGAGGGGACACCCAGCATTTAGAAAAGTCTTTAAGGAGCTTGGAAAGAAAAGTGACTGGATTTCTTAAAGTTTCTTGAATTTGATCTTTGCTCAGCGACGGCCTTCTTTTCTTGTATCGTGAGGTTAGATGGAGGAACTTTTGTACTGGAGAGGGTGGGTGAAACCTTCACCCTGATTCGCTGCTTCGGGCTGTTACTTTATTACTTTATGATGACGTCCACTACGGGCAGCTGCTGTGGAGAAATGGCAAAAACTGAGTCGTTTGGCTGGCATCTTCAGCTTCAGTGAGAGTCCTGCCTGAAAAGTTCGTCACCCATTTTTTCTGACGGTCCTTGGCTGTGACGTCTTCCTGTTCTTGTTTGTATTGTCTAGACTGGGAAATATAAGTTTTTGTTAGGAAAATATGGAATTTTTGGAGTTCCTTTCCTTAAATGTGAGCTTAGCCTTGTCCACAAACCCAAAAATGTCTTCTAACATAGGAGAGAGTATGGGTTTGATTTGAGTTCCTGCAGAATCTGATCTTGTTGTGGAGTGCATCTATAGAGAAATGGACCCGCCCCATCCTTTCACCTAGAGGTTGGTTTGGTGCTCTCCACAGAAACAACGCCATTCTGTGTCGCCTCACCGTGGATCCAAGGTGCAAACTCTTGGAAACAAGTCTGCTTCGTCTGCATCTTAGGTTGAAACCGAGATGGTTTCTATAATCCGCTAGTTTCCTTTTCATACTCCAGTCGAAGGGTGTTCCTCCCTAAGTGCAAGGCACGGTACTCTAAAGAGCCTGGAAAGAAAAGCGACTGGACTTCTTAAAGTTTTGTGAAACTTTGCTTTTCTCCGTCCTTAAAACAGACAAATAAGTTAAAGATTCACGTGTGAGCCACAGCACAAGTTACAGAGCTACAATATCTGATTTATGTTAGCTTCAAGAAGCACACTAAGGAGGTGCCGCAGGCTGCAAAAGTACATTTATAAAGATATTAGAGACTCTGTCAGCTCACTTTGTTTTTCCCATTTACATTACGATGCGGTGTCACGGTCACCTGCAGCAGTTAATCCTCCTACGATGGTTTACAGTCAGGAAATTTACACTTTGGATACTGTTCGGTTGCACATTTGGTTCAATAAAAGGCGGAGCTTCTATTGAAAACTGCACGGCTGCTTAGACCCTGACTGGGTTAAAGGGAACCAGTTTGTGAATCAGTCGTTAATATCTGCTGCCTTCTGTTTTAGGTACTTTATTATGCTGCACGCTCTGGATGTGTTGTTTGTGTCTACAGTGAAGTTGATCTGATTTCGTGCATGAATTCATTCTGTAAGCAGATTACACAGATTACCAAAAGAGAACTGTTTGTTTTTAATGAGGGAAAGAGATTCAGTTCATCTATTGGTCAATTACAGCTAAAGTTTCATCAGCAGCAGCGAAATTCAGCAGTAACCCCAACAAAACAGGTTCCTTCTGCTCAACAATTCATCCTAATTTACTACAGACATGAAGCACCTGTCCCACCTGTCCCCAGGTGTCACTCCTCGGGTGTTTCAGGAAACAGTCTGAGTTTAAGAGCGCCGTGACTCTTGAGCCTCGCTCTGAGATCAGATGCAGGGTTAGTGTTCTCCTCTCATGTCCACAGGAAGCAGAATTCTCAAACTGCAGATCGTGTCCTTGCACCACGTAGTGTATCGTCTCCCGTAAACGCGCTCGGTCACTCTGGGTTTGTGTGGAAATGTTCACGGCGGTTGTGAGACTACAGCAGCTCAGCACCATCAGAAATGCTGATTATTACAGTGTGGAAAACTTTTAGAATTTGACACAAATAAAACTACAAAAAGGGGAAAAACAAACAGGATTTAGGCACATAAATAAAATTGAGCTCTGGGCCTAAATCTGCGTGTGCTCGAGTCACCAGTGGAAAGCAGCTTTTGTGTGCAGCAAACAGGAACAGCCACCAGAAAGACTCCCGACTGATGAGAAGCTCCTCGCACTGCTCAAACCTGTCGTTTCTCCCTCTGGGTTTCAGAAGTGCGAGGCGGGATGATGTCGGTGGGGATGGTGGGCCAGCTGCCCGCTGCTGGCCTTGTCTCTCAGCATGGTTAGTGCAGTGTTGGAGAAATCCCTCAGGATGTCCACGGTCTCCCGCTGGAGCTGCAGGGACTCCTGCACGAACTCGTGCTGGCTCTCCACGAGCAGCTGGACCGATTGAGCCAACGTCTCCAGAGACTGAGACACCGAGGTCAGGAGCATCCTGCTGGCCCGCTGCTGCTGCAGGCTTTGAGACGCCACCTGGGCGACCTGCTCGTGTGGCCTGCGTGAGGATGCTCCAGCTGGGAGAGGGTCCGATAAGCTTGAGCCTGAGGTGGGAGCACTGCGTGGAAAGATGGAGGAGGAGGGAGGAGGCTGGCTTTGAGAAAAAGAAGAAATAGTTGCAGAGGTGACTGTTGAGAAAGCGGAGGAAGCTGCAGGTGGTGGAACTGAGGTAGAAGGTCGAGGGTGAGAGGAAGCACCATTGGCTGCAGCAGGTGCAGAGGAAGATGATGGAGGAGGGAATGGAGAGGGAGCAGGGAGGGCGGAGCCAGGTCTGTTGGAGGATGGTGATGGTGGGGGGACAGCAGAGGATGAAGCAGCTTCTGAATCAGAAGCCAAAGGAAAGCCAGAGGACGTGGAAGCCACTGAGGAGGAGGAAGGTCCGGGTGGAGGTCTGCTGGAGGAGGAGGAGGTCTGGATGGTTTGGCTCTGGCCGTTGCTGCTTCGGGAGTACGTGTAGACGGGCTTCACCCTCATCAGGGCGTTATCGGGCAGAGGATCGAGGGAGGTGGGGGGTGGCCGGACGGAGGAAGGGTAGGAGAACATGGAGTCGTCGTTTTCATCGAAATCCATCATGTGTTCTGTGAAGGACAAATGCCACAGGAGGATCTGTGAGCAGTTTATTCTTTACCGGAGCAGCACTGAAACATGCAGGAGATTCAACCTCTCATTACTGTCATTAATGCTGTTACAGCACCGTGGAGATGTTTACATCGTGTTTCTCCACATTTTACAGGAAGCCTGCTTTTCTTAGAAATGCACAAATCTAGAAGATGAATGTTCAGGGTTTACATGTCTTATTCCTCACTTCACTGCCTCCATCAGATTATGGCGAGGCTCAGGTATGACATTCATGCTTGTGCCAAATGAAAGCAGGAAGTTTACAGGACCTCACGACATGTTCAAACACCCACGTCATGCCTGATTCATATTCATTTAAATGCACATTATGTATGATTTTTAACGCTTGCAGCCAAACGTTGGACTGCATGGTTAAAAAAATAAGTATCAACAGTGTCCTTACCTCCATCATCACCCAGGTCAAAGTCAGACGAGGAGTGGAAAGGATCTCCTGCAAAAAACACGAGAACGTCATGAAAATGTCCAAGAAGGCCTCAGAATAAAGGCTTCGACATCTGAACTGGATATAAGAACTTTTTTTTCCTTCTTAAACAATCGATTTGTGACGATGGGAGATCCGTCTCACAACCAACCGTTTCATATTTATATTAAATGTAAAACAGGCTCCATGGTTTACACCTCAGTCTGGTCCAAATAACCCTCGATCGAGCTCCCTGAGCTTTTTCTTTACTCACCGCCAAGTTCTTTTTCAGGTGAGGAGAGAGGTGAAAGGTCAAAAGAGGGTCCTCCTGATAAAGTGTGAGTGCCGTCTGTCAGACTGAGGTAGGAGTAGGGGGAACTGTTGGAGGGTAGCCCTTTGCTGCACATCTTTGAGAAGTCGTCGTCTTCTCCCAGGTCCAGATCGCTGTCGCCGTCTGAAAACCAACACATGTAATCTGAGTAAATTCTGATACTCTGACTGGACGGATCCTCATAGATATATCTGATACCTTTATTTAAATATCACTGTAACCTCTTCTCTCAGTTTTACACTGACCACGCTAACGATGCAGCGCCATCCTGCAAAGTGAAATGCCTTTGAGAGGCAGCGGACAGAGCGCATCTGCTGATTGGCTGCCAGTAATGTGATCAGCTTCCAGCTGCAGCTTTTCACACATGAGCAGCAAAGAATACATCAGACAGATTACTTAGTTCAGGAACTCAGTTTGTGCATGCAGTGTTTTCCTTAGCCTCTAGGGCAGTGCTGAGTACAACGCTTCTCTAGACTTTTAGCACTTGACCCAGGAAGTACACAGCCCCCGGCAGGCTGATAAAAACACTTTCTAACCACAGTTTGTGCACACAGCACATTAAATCTGTAATGAAATAAACAACAGAACAGAACACACACACTGAAGCCACAGCAATATGAAATATACACGAGTGTCAGTGATGCACAACGCTGTAACTCGAGTCAGTTATAAAATCAGCTGTACGAATTTAGACCAGTTTTTACAGCCACCTAGCAGGATGCAGAGCATCTCTGCAGCCAGAAGGTGGCGTTAATGCACCGTGAAGCTGTCGAACAACAGATCACCTCACTAGCAGATGCTGGGTCACTGACAGTTGAGTGGCACGGTGAGAAAAAACCTGTGAAGTCGAGAGAAATTTCTGAAAAACAAACAAAAATGAGGTCTGGTTGAAACGCCAACGCGTGCAGTGACATGACGGCAGCTTGGGGTGAGACTAATCTCTGAAGAACATCAGCCTTTTATGAGGTAAAAAGGACAATTGCATTAAAGAATTTATAAAGCAGTGAAGTGAAGCTAACACGTGTTGTCATCACGGGCTGGATGGCATCATCTTGTTTCCTTTCCTAAAGGATGGGTGGGTGCATCCTTTGTGAAAGGAGGCAGCAGTGAAGCGCCTTTCCTTCGGATTTGGAGAGTTGAACAGCTCTTATCGTGGCTGAAACTCTGATACTTCTGGGTCACTTCACTCGCTTAGAAACCAATCTGATAAACCCCCGTGTTGCTCTACGCCTCGCCTCGCCTCGCCTCACCTCCTCTAGGACTCATCATCAGTATCTTATGCACCATCCTCTCCACGGGGCCCAGTTTCTTCTTCCTCAGGGTTGTGCCGTTGGGACCCCGCAGCGCTGCAATGCGTCGCTTCCCATCGCATTTGAGGTCTGCCCATTTCTTCATGATCTGACGCACCTGAGTGGAAACGAAACCTTTGAGGAGTGCTGAGTGACATGTCCCATCCGTCACGCAGCCTGCAGCTGCTGCAAGTTATTAAACGACTGTCGACAATCCGCCAGTCGTTTATGAAGCACAAGCGATAAAAAATAAATCTATCGCATCCTGAAACGAAGACTTTCAGCTTATGTGATTGTTAAGTTTGGTATAAATAAATAAAGTATAACTGACAGCCTTTGTGTTCAAACAGCAGAGGGCAGCATGGTGCGGCAGGACTGAATGGCCTTATCTTTTAATTCGCTCATCTGGGAGAACTGATTCTTTTTACATGACTTTGAATAAATTAATAACGTAATGTAGGGCTGCTCAATTAATCGAATTTTAATCTGAATTACGATCTGGGCTTTAAACGATTATTAAAAATGACCGAGCTGATTATTAGCACCTCCCTCGTGCTTTACTCTCGCGCTGCTCCGTGTGGTAAAACGAGCGCACCTCTCTGCGATTCGAACACGCGTCACAACAATTAAGAGGACCCGAGGGAGGCTCGGAAAGCTAAGCAGAAGTTATTTGAGGAGAGGATAATGGCTGCTGAAGAAAGAATGGCGTTGGTTGAAAAGAGGTAAAACGACTTCAGTGGTGTGGAAACATTATGGGTTCACGGATGTTTCCACACCACGTGGATCAAGTAGACACAGTGTGTCGTAGCTGCACCACAGAGCAACACTACAAATGTATTCAATCATTTGAAGATCGCTCACAAAGTGACATACGATCAAACAATGAAGGAGCAGCAACTTTAGTGTCAGTTTGATGCAACTGTGCATTGTGCTCGCCTTGATGTTTGGTTATTTGTATGCATAAATATTATGCAGTATTTTGAAGTTCACTAAACATAGATGTTTACATTTTTCATTTATTTTTTATATTGCAAACATTTGCACTGTTATCAGTATTTGCACACTATTTTATATTATTTTTAAAGTCATTATTCAATACGTTGTTATTGTTAAATATCGTCAAATAATCGAGATCTCAATTTCAGTGAAAATCATCGTGATTATCATTTTTGCCCTAACGTAATGCAGAAAAACAAAACTTTGAAGGACAGATCGGGGCTTTTCTGAACTGTTCGAACTTCACAAATCATCTTTTGAAGGACTTTCTGGGGCTGAGAATGTAAAACAAACCTCTCTGTGATTCTCTCCCAGACCGTTGATCTGATTGGTGATCTCGACCCACGTCTGTTTCTTCGTTTCAGCCGACACACCTTGGTTAAACTTCCCTACAGAGAGAACGAATCAGTCTCAAGTATTAAATCACAGCAGTGCTGTAAAAGGTGACCCACGTGCTCCCTCTGCTGGTAAGGATCTTTAAAAGCACGGTGCACTAAAAACAGAGAGAGCAGACGGAGCAGTAAAACATCCTGTAACTTCACAATAAAATCAAATGTTATGTTTGACATCTGACTCGAGTTCTCAGCACCACAATCAGTTTCACTGACTGCAGCCTCTCTGGCGACAGAGCAGCATCAGAAGCAGCTCTCCACCTGCTGCCAGTCGGCTGGAGTGCGTTTTGCAGCAGAGTACAGATCGCTGTCACCAAATGCAGCCCAAGGTGGCGACGCTGGCGTCCATCGGCCTATGTGATGAGAGATTTGAGGAGCTCAACACTCGCATGATAAACGTGACCAACAGGAGGGTCAGTAGGTCGTACCAGAATGGCGTCAACGGCACACGTTTTATTACAAACAGCTCCTCGAAGACTTTCCTCCTAAATAGAAAAGAAATAATCTACTTTTCTATTCCTACTCACTGAGGATGATGTATCTGTTCCTCTTCACCGCCTCCAGCAGCAGCTTGACCTCAGTGAAGGAGAACCTCGGTTTGGCTTTCAACGCTCCTTTTACTCCTCCCACCCTCAGTTCCTCATCGTCCTCACGCCACGTGGCTGACATGGCTCCACCGCTGCCTCGGACGGCCCGCTAAAACAGAGACCGAGTCCAAATTCGCCGCCCTCCACGACTAGCTGATCCAGCTGCCAGTCGGGACTAGACACGCCTGGCTGACTGCACAGGACCTGCAGAAAAAACACGAAGGAAAAAACGATGAAAGAAAAGAAATATGGAGGAAAAAACACTGTGATGAAATGAATTATAAGCAGGCAGAAATAGCATCTCTGCTTCATAAGCATACAAAATATTTCACTCTGTTTAAAAACTATGACTTATTATTGCTCTAAATAAGCTCCTTAATAAGCTTTTGTGCAGATCGAAGTTTATCTTTTAATTTTATACAAAATAACTTGAAATTTCAGCATAAACAGATGAGTACATTTTGACTAATGTGAGATTTAATCCATGTAAGATAATAACATCATTGAGTTACTCTAAACAGTCTCCTAACCCTCGCTCTTATTCTGAAAATTCAGTCATTCCTAATCAGCTAGTTGTGGTGCTTCCTGTCTCATATTTTCCCATGCTGTGATGCAGGCCTGGGTAGGATGGACTCCATGACTCGATTTGACTGATCAGTTTGGGTCGATCTACACTGCAAACGAGCACCACCTAAATGTGCATGTGGTCATCAAAGTAACGTGGCTGTAAGTCTTGTGATGTCATGTTTATATGACACAAACACAAATGGAGGATTTCGAGGTGATGCTACACCTGCTGCTCAGTCTGTGGCTTTCTGTCAGACTCGGGAACCAGAGTGTTGGATGTTGTGTGGCTATTTGTGGCCGAGATTCAAAAATGGCGGTTTTGAATTCTTTGAAGGGGACAATCTCATGACTCAGCGAACAACGCCACAGCCTGGCCAGTCACCAGCATGCAGTCTGTCGACGTCACATTTTTGCAACTAGGGCTGGTTATCGTCAAGGATTTCCAGGACCGATTCAATTCTGATTCACAAGGTGCCGATTTGATCCAATTTGATTTGGACTCAGACAGAAATATTATAATTCTGATCATTTATCCGTACATCCATATTTTATATCTATGTATAAAAACAAAGCTGACACTGTGAGACTTCAGAGGTGTGAGCAGATGCCTTTGTGCCAAAGTAACTGAGGATAAAACACAAAAACATGAAGCAGATTTTCCTGTCCTGGCTTTTTATAGCGGAAAACCTTAAAATATTCTGCAGTAAAAAAAAAACTGAAGAAAACCACGAATCAACATCTGAACATTACCTGATGCTGCTGAAGTGAAGCAGAGCAAAGTTACAGAGGTTTGATGAGAGACACAGCTGAGAGTTTTGCAATTTGACATCATTTGTAAAAGTTTGCATTTCTTTAGGATCGAACAGAAACGAGGAGGTCATGTGTGGCAGACAGCGCTGTACACAACGGTAGACTGGTGCGGAGTAAGCAAGCGAATAATGCAGAAAACAGATTTTTGATGGTAAACTGGTCTCTGAGTACAGTGAGAGAGAGAGACAAAGAGCTGTCCAGGAAGTGTAATTTTATCGTGGTGGAAGCTAAACAAGAGTGTATCCATGACGATGTTTCTAAACGTGAAGCGGTTTCGATCTTCTTTTGTTGCTGGTTCAGTGAATTGTGCGTGCCGTCGGGTTTGCATCTTTATCGGATTACCTGCTTTTAATCGTTTGCTGTTTTAGCTGTTGGTGGTTGTTGACATAGTTTTGTTAGCTTTAACCTGAGGTTCTGGCATTTCTGGAAAAATACATTTATATTTAAGTCAACTCAGGATTTAATGAATCGATATTGCATTATTCAATCGATTTGAATCGGAAAATCCATTTTTTAAACCCAACCGTACTTGCAACCCCCACTGAACAGGTACTAAAAAAAGTAACCAGTACCAGGTACTACTACCTAATGGAAAAACCTAACAACCGAGTTAAGACGAGTAGATTAGGGGTGGGTTTTTATAATCAATTTATCGATTAAAATCGATTCTGGCTTGGATAACGTGAAATTGATTCATTAAAATCCTGAATCGATTTTTTAATATAAATTTATTTTGCCCGAAATGCCAGAATCTCAGGTGAAATCTCACAAAATTTCAACAACCACCAAACAGCTAAGACGGTAAATGAGAGCAGAAAGACGGATTCTGCACAAAGATGTAAACACACAGCGCAGAATCGTGGATCAAATCGATTCGGGACCTTGTGAATCGGAAACGAATCGATTCTAGAAATGAGTGACGATACCCAGCCCTAGTGTAGATACCAGCGGAAAAGAGGCGTAACTAGTGTCTTGGATCACAGGAAGTGATAGCAGTCCCATTCCTCCAAGCTTTGTATGTTAATGGCCAGCCAAGTATATCTGCCCACTCAAGTTTAGAGTGAGCATTTAGAGCACTGGTACACCTAATACGCTCATATTACAAGCTACCAAGCTGTGGAGTGAGCAGTTTCTGTAGGAATCTCAGCAATATTGTTTTTTCCCCTATTGTGAGGTGTTGTTTCTTCTGAGTCTGTGAAACCATTAAATTTCTTCAGAAAAAATCAAAAAATTCAAAACATTTTTATTCACTGGACCAATTTTCTGGTCCCAGCGGCACTAACTGATCCACTGAAACAAATATTTTTGAAGTGATGAATATAGAATTTGGCTTTTTCTTTTTACAAGTTGTGAGACAAAACTTTCTTCATACAGTTTCATAAATATTTCATGCATGTTTCAAGTATGTTCCCAATTTTAAAAATGACTGCAGAAGCAGGTAGTCCAGTCATCCACTGGCACTTTTAAATGTACCTGCAGCTCACAATTTAAAGGTTACAAAATTATGTTCTCAAAAATCCTTCTACATACTTTAAAAAATAAATAAATACAAATTTAGCAACTGCGACAAATTCATATAAAACTGGACTTCACAGATGTTATCACCTGAGCGACAGCTGTGCAGCTGAACCGAACCTACGAGTGTCTCCGTCTCCTCCTTTGACACACAAGACTTCTGAGAACTGGATTTTATGTTGTGAAAACTTAATTTTAATTAGCAACACAGACAAAAAGTGCTGCACGCGTGGCAGACAGTGGACTGTTTTCAGGGTGACTGAACCATAAACAGCCAGTGCAGATTTCAGGAAAACCACCTGCAGTGTTGGACAGGGGCCGCTTTCATGGCTGTGGACGGGAACATCTCGTTTTTCCTTCAGCTCGTGTCCCTATACTGCCCCCTCCTGGCTGGACTTTAACATACACAAACACTAATAGATGACTGTTTTCCTGTCTTTCAGAAATTATTATTTTTCTACTTTCTGAGGAAACCTAATGACACCCACACGTGTGTGTAGGAAATTCCTCTACATACACATGTATGTGTGTATCCATATATCAAGTAGTTACAAAGTAAGTAACCATGTCAGTGCAGCCGTCCTTCTAAAGCGCTCTTATTAGTTACTTTGTTTCTTTTGGTTAATCTGTTGAATTCGGTTTACGTCACGAAGTTCGAACCGGCGCTGATTGGCTGGCTGTAAACATCCACGAGAGCGTACTAATGTTCCAGATCTCATTAAATACCTGATAAACATTGCGTTCTACCAGGCCACGTGACCCACGCGAACCAATCAGCTGCGACCGTGCTGTGTCTTTGTTGAGCTTGTGCCTGATGGTTCACACGGGGAGCTGCCCACCCGACTCCTCCGCGTCTTTTAGCTACGCCGGGCTGAACCGGTGCTGCGTGGAAACGACGAGACGTGCGAATCCTGCGAATTTCCGTAACCACGAGCCGGATTATCGCGAACATTACAAGCGGAGCTGTGCGGTGTCTTTGCGCTCCAACTCTCGGTGTCAGAGCTGGAGGAGACGCCTGCTAGCTCGGCGCTACGCTTTTATTTCGCACTGTAGCACGTTCGTACGTTTTGCGCGAAAACGCCGCCCGTGCGGGCTGCTATTGCGGGTTCCGCGTGACGTGCAGTGTTTTTTAAAAGGCCGCATATGCTGTAGATAATTACCAGGCAAATGGCGCTGTTCTCCCCTCCTTCCTTCGTGGTTCTCCCGAAAGTTCGGAGTGACGAGAACAAGCGAATTGCGCAGACTCTATTCACGCAGCGCGTGTGGTTTTTTTTCCTTCTTCTTCCTCGAACGCGCAACATTTTCAGGCCGCCGCGCGCCCCCATGTGCCGCAGACGCGGTATGCACCAGTCACTCCCATTCCCAACACATCAGTCACCAAACTCACGAAGTCTGCACGTTCAGCCACACGGTGAATATTTAATGACTACCATCACCCTCACGGCCCCTCCTCCCGCCTCACATAATTAATTAGTCCCAAAATCACGTACGTATTCCTGCGCACATTTTTTTTTATTCATTACGTTCATATTTCAACATTTTATCGTAGCAAACACACACAAGTGATCATCAGCTTTAGTAGTTACCTTGTAGTTACGCACATGAAGGCCTTTTTAGGTCAACAAAGGTCAGCATCATCTACACTTCTATGATTTGTACTATATTACTCATCAGTACATAATTAAACAAAAAACAGCTTCTAAATCCCCCAAATTACCCAATGAACGATTTCAAACCTAGCAGCTAATAAAAAGACAGCATAGTTTACTTAAGGATCTCCCTGATTGGCTAACATTACAAACACAGACATCAAGTACAAATCATTTAGGATATGGTGACTTTTGACATTGTCAGCAAACCTTTGACGTGCACGACTGAGAGACAGGGTCGTAAAATCAGCAACAACGTCACTTGGTGTCACCACCATTTTCTATCAACATGGAGACAGAAGGAAGATGGGAGAGGCCAGGAAGAATGCATGTTCCGCTTGCGTCCGCTTGGTGTCGCCAGAGATCCTCCATTGTGGGGAAATACGTATTTCCTTCTTCTGGGCAATACCCGGCTGGGCCGACAGAGGGCGCCGTCACATACGTGTTTCATCCACAGTGGCAGATTTTGGAGAAAGTGGAAGAACAGGGTTGTGTAATTTGGGACTGGACTGGTTGCTTTTCAGAACATTTTGCTGCACAGATGCCGTTATTCCCCTGTCCGTCCGGCAGATGGAAAAGGCGACGTATGGGCTCATGTTTCATAACACCACAGCAGGGACAGCCGCTCTTCAAACAAATTGACGTATTTGTGTGATTGTGCTCTCTACTGCTACTGCTGGCAGTGATGGTGCTGCTGGAGTGACCCAATTTTTCCCCCACAGGGACCATTAAAGGTTTCCAAGAGCTAAAGGAGGCCACGCTGAGGGGTAAAACAGAGCGTACATTGCATTGCAAACTGACTTATAATAATCATAGGTCACATTTTATACAAATAAACAAAACTACGACTTTCTATTATGATATTTGGGGAACGAACAGGAATGTTAAAATACGGGTTACGGAATAAAGAGCTCCACTTTAGACCCACTAGTAAAAATAATGGACTTACGGCCTCTAGATGAGTTTTACAGCACATTTCACTGTCAAAAGTGAGTAATGGGAGGTTTAAAATAACAGGGTCAGCATGTTGGCACGGCACGCAAAAGCACAGTTTAATAGAAAAAGACTGGAAGAGCACTTCTATCGTTTCATGAGGTTGGTAGCCTTCTGGTTGGCAGCGCTGATTCGGGTAACGTTGAGATTAGCCTGCAGAGGATGGGAAAAAAGAAAGAACAAGGAAGTGTTAACAAGAATGTGGTAGGCAGGCACACACAGCTGTGCTCTCCATCTATCTTTCACTTTCAGGTGTGCTTAATTGCTCTGGATAATCAAAGGAAGCTTGGCAAGCTCTACAGTCCAACAACACACAGTAGGGTGAATATAATCAAACACCTCCTGCTCAGAACTGTTCATAGATAAGAATTCTTAGCTTTAGTGCTGTTAGCACGAGTTCCTGTGCTGCTTTCATCTCTGACTCAAAGGGAAGAGCACGAACTGCTTCTGTCAGGTAAAAAGCCACATTATTGATTTCATTCATCTCCCTCTCCGGGCACAAGCCTGAGATGAACTGCCATAATTCCCCTTTTCTCTCCTCACTAAGATCCCAGATAGATCCGTGTGAAACTCTGAAAACTGACTAAAGGATCTGGAAACAGCTATCCACCCCTTACCTACCTCTCAGCTGGTCTACTGCAACTCTGTGTATAAGCCTAATTCCACTCTCACTCTCTGTTTCACATAGTTCAGTGTACAGCAGCTTGACTTTTAACTGGTACAAAGAAAAGACAGCACGTCACTGCTGTTTATGGCTGCTCAGGTCTGTTAACTGCCTATTTTGCCTCCATATCACAGAGATCATTATCCCAACAACTTCTGGGAATTCTCCCCTAACGGTGACCAGGCCACGCTCTCATTGCTTCCAGACTCTGGAATAGTCTGCCCTCCTACATACGAACCTGTGAAATCAACTTTAAGATGAACCTATTTTCAGTTGCTTTTATTCAAGTATAGTCTTGAGAAGCTATTGCCCTTTTGTTTGACTGTTTCCCATTGTTAGTGCTTCTTCTCTGTATAACATGAGCTCCATCTATTTTTTTAACTGGGTTCTTGGAGAACTGGATGCCAAACCAGATACAGGAGTCTGAGGTTTGCTGGCATGTTCTCGGTGTTTCACCGGTCTAGAACATGTCAAAGGAAAATCTTTTATGTAAAGTCCTCCAGTTTTGTAAAATGTGTCTATTCATCATGTGGCTAAAACAAAATCCAACTCTAACCCTGACCTGGTGGGAGTTAAGAGCTTAATGTCTTCCTTGGCCTCCTACTCTTCCGAATCCCTACCTGAGTTTACTACAAGGTGCTTTGAGAGTGTTGTAAAAGTAATCATCGACTATTTACTCTTTATCTGGCTTTATTTGAGCGATATAGTGAAGAGTGACATGAAAGCAGAGGGGAAGGCATGCGGCAAAGGCTACAGGTCGGATTCAAACCCGGCATATGGTTGCACGTTCATCCCAGCGAGCTAAACCAGCGCCCTTAAGTTGCTACATTTAACAGAGTCTGTGAAATGAATTTGATTTGACTGGTGCACACTGAGGTCTCCTACATGCAGAACAGGACAGCGGTACCTTTCCCTGTATACGGTCGATCTGGGAATTCTGTGTTTCCAGCTCGTTGCCAATGTCCAGGGCCATGCTCTTCAGATTTCCGACGATGCTGCCCACATGTGCCAGGTTCTCCTCCATCTCGTCCTCGCGGGCGTCGCCGGTCGCCCTGACACGGGCAGGAACAAAGCAGGAAAACATTAATGCTGCAAAGATGTGTGCAAGTTTTTGTGTTTGTGTTTGACCAGCTGCCTGTGTGTGATGGCGTAAGTATTAGATGTCAGTTTGCTGTAAAGAAGAGCAAACACAGACACACACACACACACGCACACACACACACTCAGACACACACACACAAACCGTGTATGCAGCTGCCGTCTCTCAGCTCACACAATAACACACTCCACTAAACTCTGTGTGTCACTCTCTCTCTACCTTCGTATGTATCCTCCACTCATAATCATCTGCTCTCTCTCATCCACGACCCGAGATGACGGCGGCTGATTGGCTACAACGCCATCCTGGCTTGAGGCTCTGCCCCAAACTGCCTTGTACGCCCCACTCTCCTCAAAAGCCTTTAGTCTGGAAGAGAAAGATGGATGTCGATTTTAATGAGTGACGTCTGTTAAACGTGAAACGTGAGAACCACAGCGTACCCATACTGCTCCTGCAGCTACAGTACGGGTACACCAAGGGTCCATTTACACCATAAAACACGACAAACATGGCACTGGACTACTTCAGAGCAAATCAGAGCAGCAAAGCAAGCCGACAGCAAAAGCTAAAAGCAACTAATGAACCAAATCTGAAGAGTTTTCTCGTGTTTAAATCTCAGGACGCTATTTGCTCCTCGTCAGCATCGCACTGTATGTTAAAGCACCTTACTGGAAACATCTATTTTACCTCCAGTGCTCACTGGGATCACTGGGATCATCCTGATCAGTGCGTTTTGGGGAAGAACAAGAACTATAACACATTTAGATCTGCACTGTCTTTAAGAAGAACACTCAGTTTAGCTTTCCTGCTATGTTTGGTTTTCTCTCTTTGTGAGTAACGTCTGGGCATAGAAGTGCCAAAAACTACAAATATGGTCACTTCCAACATGGCAGCAGCCATAACACCAACGCCGAGCCCTGAAAATGTGAAATCGCCAGAAAAAACTGGTGAATAAGATGGCTGCTCATTGTGATGGTGTTTGAATGTTGCAGTCTGACCTTACAGGACAAATTCAACTTTATTAACATCATCATAACAGGACCGAGCTGTGTTTACAGACAAACACACACACACACACACACCTCCACCTACTTATCGCAGGAGCAGAGACCACAGCACTTGCCCAGGTCAGTCAGGTTTTTCTCTGCCTCCTTCATATCAGAGTTGATCTGATCCAAGCCCTCCTCTATTCGCTCCAACTGCTCTATGAGAGGATGCGGCGGAGCGGGATGAAGGAAGAGCAAAGGTGAAAGAAAGCAGGAAATGAGGTCGAACGTAACGAGGAGAATGGAGGGAGAAGAGAGGAGGAGGGAGGTGGAATAAAAGAAAAAAATCACAAAGTATTTCCACGCGGCTGCACTATGAACTGAAAAAGCAGCCACCAGAAACGTGAAACAGAACGCCACCACGCTGCGCTAACTGCTAACACTGGACCAAACGGTGCAGAGCCAACGACCTTTGACCTCGGTGCCCACTTCCATTCTGTTTTCTTCTCTCGGGCTATATACGAAGGATGTTTCTGCATCTGTGCTTCTTTTAAAGAAGATTTTAAGGAGCATTTATACAAATGTGTCTTCTAAATCCAAATTGAGGTATTTTTAGTCACATGCAGTTAGAAAACGCTTCATTGTCACCGTTCTGCTATAAACAGACATCAGATGTAAGAGATGCAGAGCTTATCTGTTATATCGAGTTCATTTTCACAGGCCTTTGTCTATAAATTAGATTTTTTGATCCTTCAAGCCAAAAAATCTCCACTTCAGAAACAGCAAACGTGTAGTTATTCACATCCTGAAGGCTTTTACCAAATAGTTTGTTCATATATATCATTCAGATCCTGATTCACTGAACATCTGTTAGTAAAAACATGCCTTCTTTGTCTTTTGGCATTAATTTCTTCTTAATGGATCAATTAAAACGAATTATTAAATAAAAAAAATCTTTGAGTTTAATACTTGGGCAAAAGGAAACGAGCAGAGAGTGACATCATTCACTCAAGATGGCTTATCGAGTAATTTAAGCCCCTGATTATTATGATGATTATCGTTGCTGAAGGAGTCTGATAATCTAATCACATTTGATAAACACTGCAACACATTTAATGGAACTGGGCACCAGTATGGGGCTTTTTAGGGCCTGTTTGGATAAAGACGCAGGTTCCTGGACCTACTTCCTGAGTGGCCAGATACAAAGGCCACAGCACTGGGCCATGTCTGTCAGATTCTTCTCTGCCTCTCTCATGTCCCTGTTGATGGAGTCCATACCCTCCTCAATACGCTCCAACTGCTCTGTTAGAACGGGAGTTTTATGGTGTTGCCACAGCAGGAGCAGAGATCAATACAGAGATGGGCATGTTTACACAACGTGTACTGGCAAGGCTTCCAAATCAAAAGCTCACATCAGGGATATTTACACAAAAA